TCCGAACACTGGAATTCCGCAAACATTTCGTCCACAACAACAATCTTCCGGCGACCTACAGTGCGATGTCACAAGACCAGAAGTCACTCATCAACCCAAATTCTCAAGGAGCTAACGTACGCTTGGATCGGCTCGAGGAGGTTTTAATGCGCCTGAAAGCCCAGCTTACTACAGCTACCACTAACGGCCCGCGGCGAACACCAAACCGTCGCCCTACTTCCTCCGTTTCCCACACCCGCCGTTCACAATCCCCAAGTAGCGTCTGCTGGTATCACCAACAATTTGGAGGAGCAGCTCGACGATGTCTTCAGCCATGCTCTTTCAAGGCATCTGTAACGGCCTCAGGGAGACGATCCCACCCGACAGTAGAGGCCACTGCTACTGAAAGCGTTGCCAATCTCCACACTCGCCGTTTGTTTCTCTGGGACCGTATCGCTGGCACCAAATTCCTTGTCGACTCTGGTGCCGAGGTTAGCGTGGTTCCACCAACTCCGGCCGAACGCAAAACCCGCAGCTCTTTTTGTCTAACAGCTGCCAACAACTCCAGCATCCCCACCTTTGGACAGCGCTCCATCACACTCGATTTGGGCCTTCCTCGGATTTTCCGATGGGTTTTCATTATTGCCGACGTTTCCGTCGCCCTTATTGGCGCCGATTTCCTAGCTCACTTCAATCTACTAGTTGATTTGAAGAATCGCCGACTCGTCGACTGCATCACCGACCTTCATGCCCGTTGTCAATCCGATGTGAACCCCTGCGTCAACCCTCTCACTGTTATGCCCATTTTTGACTGTTCTTTCCACTTACTCCTCAGGCAGTTTCCCCGCCTGACCAACCCCTCATTTCGTGAAGTGGACATCAAACACACAGTCACTCACCACATTTCCACCAATGGACCTCCCAAATCTTGCCGACCACGTCGTCTGGCACCGGACCGTTTGAAGATAGCCAAGGCAGAGTTCGAACACATGCTTGAGCTCGGCATCATCCGACAGTCCGACAGCTGCTGGGCATCACCCCTCCATCTTGTCCCAAAGAAGAGCGGCGACTGGCGACCGTGTGGCGACTATCGGGCATTGAACTCAGTGACTGTCCCCGACCAGTATCCCGTCCCGCATATCCAAGACTTCACTCTTTCGCTGCACGGTAAGCGAATATTCTCCAAGATTGACCTTGGGCGTGCCTACCATCAAATTCCAATCGAGGCCAGTGATGTGCCGAAAACCGCAGTGACCACTCCCTTTGGGTTATTCGAATTCACCCGTATGCCCTTTGGTCTGAGGAACGCCACTCAAACCTTTCAGCGATTCATTGATCAGGTTCTGCGAGGTCTCGACTTTGTCTACGCCTACATTGATGATTTGCTAGTGGCTAGTTCTGACGCTGCTGAACACGAGCTTCATCTTCGACAACTCTTCGAACGACTTGACTCTTTCGGCGTTGTAATCAATGCTGCTAAATGCGAGTTTGGAGTCCCCAGCCTTATCTTTCTTGGTCACGAAGTGAACTCAGATGGGATAAAGCCCGTCCCGGAAAAAGTTTCAGCCATATCAACGTTCCCCGTCCCGGCAACCATCAACCAACTACGCCGATTCTTGGGGATGGTGAACTACTATCACCGTTTTCTTCCCCATGGTGCCACCATACTGCAGCCTCTCAACAGCCTGTTGATCCACTCCAAGAAGACACTGGTAATGACCGAGGAGGACGTCAGGTCCTTCAATGACGTCAAGGCCGCACTTGCGGACGCAACATTGCTTGCCCATCCTCGCTCAGATGCTCAGCTAACTCTCATGGCAGATGCTTCCAGCATTGCAGTTGGTGCATCACCGCAGCAAACCGTTAGTGGTGCTCTACAGCCTTTGGCTTTCTTCTCGAAGAAGCTCAGCCCAGAAGAGACCCGCTACAGTGTCTTCGGCCGAGAACTCCTTGCCGTTTATCTATCCATCCGGCACTTCCGCCATTTCCTAGAGGGTCGTGAATTTGTTGTTCTTACAGATCACAAGCCACTCGTTTTCTCACTGAGGGCCTCTCCCGATCGATACTCGCCCCGTGAAATTCGTCATCTAGACTTCATCTCACAGTTTTCCTGCGACATCCAACATGTCCACGGTAAAGAAAATGTGGTTGCTGATGCCCTTTCAAGAATCGAGATGGCTTCCATCACAACTGACGCCATAGACTTCACGCTCATGGCTGAGGCTCAACGATCGGATGGCGAACTTCCCCAATACCGCCACGAGGACTCTTCTTTACGCCTTCAAGATGTCCCCCTTCCCACTGGCACTGGCACCATCACGTGCGACCTTTCTACCGGACACGAACGTCCTTTTGTTCCAGCAACTTTACGACGACGAGTGTTCAACGCTCTTCACAATCTATCCCACCCTGGAGTCCGGGCGACAGTGAAACTCATCACTGACCGATTCGTCTGGCCCAACATCAACCGGGATGTACGGCGTTGGAACCGCTCCTGTTTACCATGTCAACGAGCCAAAACGCATCGGCATACCATTACTCCGCCAGGAACTTTCGCCACTCCTAATGCACGCTTCAGTCATGTGCATATTGACCTGGTAGGTCCGCTTCCACCATCTAACGGTTCTACCTATATGCTGACATGCATTGATCGCTTTACTCGGTGGCCGGTTGCTGCGTCCATTTCGGACATCAGTGCCGAAACCGTGGCAAGAGCTTTCTTGACTCATTGGGTGTCCAATTTTGGAGTTCCTGCGACTGTCACCACTGACCGCGGATCCCATTTCGAGTCCACGCTGTTTCGCGAACTCACATCCCTTCTCGGTACCAACCGAAGCCGAACAACAGCGTACCACCCTCAAGCAAATGGTCTCGTCGAACGCTTCCATCGACAGCTCAAGACTTCCCTTATGACCCAGCCCGATCCTTCCCGGTGGTCTGATCACCTTCCCCTGGTGCTATTGTCCCTCCGTTCCACTCTCAAGGCCGACATCGGTTGCACTGCGGCTGATCTTGTCTACGGAACCTCCCTACGACTGCCCGGTGAGTTAGTGTCTCCCTCAAACATGCTAACGTTTTTCGAACCTTGCAGTTATGTGGAGCAGCTGCGTAGTGTCATGCGCAATCTCCGCGCAACGCCCCCTCGGGCGTCACCGGCCAATTCCTTCATCCCTCCCGACCTGGATAAGTGCGATTTCGTCTTGGTTCGGCATGACGCTGTCCGACGACCACTCCAACCACCCTATGACGGGCCGTATAAAGTCCTCCGTCGACCTGACAAAGATGTTGTCATCGACCGCAACGGCAAGACCGACACAGTCAGCATTGATCGCGTCAAGCCGGCGTTCATCGACGACAGTGACCATTCCTCACCCCAACACTGTACCCCGCCGCAAACAGTGCTGCCTCCACCTAC